GCAATTTGAAGAACATAAGAAAACTATAGAGACACTCCAAAATGAGATGGTAAGGACTTGTATTAATCTGATAGTAGTTCATTCTGTGATAATTCCCATATGAACTTCATTTTGGCTATGTCATTTGACAGTAAAAAAATGTCTTTTTAAAGGCAGTCAATGTTTTGGATGAAAATCAGTATTCTCCAGTTTATTATTGCAGAACTCCATGTTAAAGTTTAACAGGGATGGGAAGCTTAAGTCTTTCAGATTCCTAGATTATAAACAAATTTGTAAATATTGGTCATCTTTGAGGATGTAAATAAGTTAACGATTAATGCCCAATTAATAGGGGATTGGGTGTCTAGCCTCAATGGACTTTCCTGATCCACCCTCTTCATATGCTCCTTGTACTATTTCTTAAATCAAGCAAGGCAAGTAAATGTGACTTTAATTATAACAAGAACCTTTTGAGTAATTACAGGCTGAGGGAGCATCACATATCTCCCATGTTTCCTAACTGCTTTCCATCCATACAATACTTGTCACATTGCACTTGTTTATTTATTTTGAATATCTTAAATACATTTACATGGAGCACCAGTATATTTGTGTATATCACAGTCTGCTACCCTCTGTCTTCCTAGTTTTGTGTTTGTGAAAGCTTGGTTCCCATGTTCAAAGTTTAAATAACTGGTTTCAAAAATTCATTTTTACTACTTTTATTAGAGTGAACTCGCAGAAGATGTTAGAGGAAAGCAGCTGCCTTCATTTCCCCTCCTCTCCAACCCCCCCAAATAAGTGAGAAGAATCTGACAGACAGTTGTAAACAGGTACAGCTTGTTGCTGCTTTAGATGCTTTGCAAATCAGTATTTCAAGATTTCTGTAAAACTATTTTAAACTAGGATTCTGGGACAAAGAAGAAACTGTCAGCCTCTATTTTAAGGAAACATGGGTTGATATTTAAGATTAGTTATACTCGGAGTAGACCAGGGGTAGGCAGCCTAAGGCCGGTGGGCTTCTCACTCTGGCCCGTGGGTGGTCCGGGAATCAGCATGTTTTTACATGAGTAGAATGTGTGCTTTTATTTAAAATTCATCTCTGGGTTATTTATGGGGCATAGGAATTGGTTCAATTCCCCCCCCCCCAAAAAAAAATATAGTCCGGCCCACCACATGCTCTGAGGGACGGTGGACCAGCCCGCAGCTGAAAAAGGTTGCTGATCCCTGGAGTAGACTCATTGAAATTGGTGTCGTGGGCATTAATTTCCCAGGATCTATACTGAATAGAACTTCATAGAATCATAGAATTATTGAGTTGGAAGGAACCATAAGGATCATCTAGTCCAGTGATGGCCAAACTTGGCTCTCCAGCTATTTTGAGACTGCAATTCCCATCATCCCTGACCACTGGTCCATTAGCTAGGGATGATGGGAGTTGTAGTCCCTTAACAGCTGGATGGCCAAGTTTGGCCATCACTGATCTAGTCCAACGCCCTGCAATGCAGGAATCTTTCGCTCAGGTCTGTCTCTAACCATTAGTGAAATACAGTTTCCTAGGCAGAGAGCAGAAATAAAAGAGAATATGACAGTCTTCATAATAGGAAGCTGGATATTAATTTTAGATTGTGATTTGTGTAATAGTCTCTTCCCTCAATCCCTTGTATTGCATCCAGCACAATGTGGAGTTCTGGAGAACTAAGAAGCTTGCTCACACACTATTTTGAGGCAATTTAGTTCATTTTAATTAATTTATTGTCCAACTGTGAATTCTGAAAATTGAGCAATATGTCTTTCTTTGCTTGTTTAAAAACGAAAAACATACAATTTCTTTGAAAGAAATCATCAATATTAAAACAGCCAACAACATGGCAGTTCTTGAAATAGATCTCCTAGTTTTGTGGTTAGTCATTTGCCCTAGTTAAGTACTTAATTTGGGAGTAGTAAATTGCTATGCCCACTTGTCAAACTGCCTTGCAAAACACTGGCAAAGTGTATTTATTATAAAATAAAGATTCTTACCAGGGTATCAGTAAAATATATTAAATAACACAGTGGTATTAAAACAAACATGTTGGCAAATTATTTTGTTTGATCTGTTAGGCTTTGTACTCTTTGAAGGTAGCTTGCACTAAAAGAAACCCAGCTTTCAACTTTCAAAGATCTAACAGACCTCCTTCATTTAAGGATTTGTCAAGTGGCTCTAAACGCTATTTGAGCTGCAATCCAATGACACTTGGGAATATGCTTTGCTGAATTTAGGAATTTATTTTTGCCAGCATAGAGTCAAGCTGCAGATGAATGACAACAATTGCATAAGTATAAACTGCTTACTATTAGTTATTGCTGTTTCTATAATAGTGTGATAACATTTTTTTCTGTGTTGAACAGGATAACCAGTACCTACATACCTCTATAGAAGAGGTAAACTCAACCCTAATGTTGTACCAGAAACAGAATGATTTAAAACTTTTCAATATGGACTCCACAGTTGGCAATCTAAGTTGGAGAGTTGCTTCATTAGAAAATCATATGACAGTGAATAAACTGGAAAAAAGAGAAAACCTGACCCTTGGCATGGTAAGTGCCTAGCTATTGTGGGTGTTTGAGAAACAAATTTTTGCAAAACAGTTGTTTTCTGTCTATATGGATTTGTTGTGCTGCATAGTGGTTGAACTGATACTGGGAAAGCCACACTTTCCAAAAAGAAATTGCAATTCACACTTGGTGTGTGGAGTTATAAATGCTAACTATAGTGAAAGAGGCCATTCTCTAGTTATCTGGATTCCTTCTATCACAAGCTTTGTACTGAATTAATGAATTTCTGCAACAATATGAGCTGTCAGTTGGATATTCAGTGATGCTTTCTGTGTTACTGTGGATCTTGGTCACCTTGAATTTCTAATTTGCTTGTACAGCTTTTGTTGACTGATAATTTGAACAGTAAAATCCACTATACCCTTAATGTCTATGAAAACTATGCTTCAGTTTTATTACAAAGTTAAAACTGCAGTCCTACACACTACTTGGGAAGTAAACCCCATTTATGTCAGAGGGAGTTGTTTCTGAGTCGACATGCATTGGATTGGGCTTGGATTGCAAGATTGTATGGATGCAGTAGTAGTGCTTGCATTGCAAGTAAGATCCTACCTGAATCAATTAATATTTGTTGCAGCATTTTGTGTAGTTACTCTCATCTATGCATTGAGACTCTGCGCCTAGAAAAATCTTGTATGTCAATAAGTAGCCTGAAATGTGGACAAAGCCAGATTCTACATGCCTACTTCATGTTTTCTCACCGAAAACATTTTTCTTTCCATGTTCTGCAAGATTTTGGGACACATTGGGATGAAAAGAAAAGGAGTTGGTGGAACTGGCTATCAGAATGGCAACTTGGCTGGGCACTAGACAAAATGATATTTTTCTGTGATTCTCTTCTTTTTAAAAAATTTAAACACAGGAGTGGAAAGTACTATGGTGAAATGGCAAACATCTAGAGCAAGTGTAATAGTTGAATGTATACTTTAATGTTTTAGGGGATTAGAAATCTAAATAATGAAGTTGGAAATCTTGGCCATATGTAGGACTGAAAACTGCATAATAAAATTGCCACCTAAGATGGCAAATGTAGAAGGAAGGCTAGGAGAAGCTGTATTGATCAGGTTGTATTGGACATTGGCACTAAAATGTGTAACTCTCATTAGATTTTAGTTGTTCAGTATATTGGATCCCCAACTTCACCTTTCTGGCAGCACTGCTGTGTGTGTGTTCCTGTTGTACAGTTATTATACAGTCATGCTGAGTGGCAGCCTTATTGATATGCTATTTCAACCTCCAGTGTACTTCTCTTTTTCTTTTTGCTTAAATAGCCACTGGGTTGTGCTAGTTGCAGACTAGGACTGTCTGAGCTTCCATTGATCTCAGCATGTCCTGGTGAGCCTTGTATATTAACTTTTCTCTCCAGTATAGTTGTTCAAATAATAGGTCTTGATGCTTTCTCACACAGCTACATTTTAATATCTTTGTGATTACTGGCTAGTCCTAGGGTGTTCATTTTCTTGTATCGCTTAAGGGTAAACTATATTTTAGAAGACGACACAAACATAAGCCTTTCTTTTGTTCTGCTTTTTGCAGGTGAGCGACTTTAACTACTCGTGAAAGTAGAAAAGAAACCAAGGAATGAAACTACTACTGAAAAGGTACAGGGCATGGAGTAATTCTAGGGAAACCAGAAGTAGTTTAAAAGGCAAGCCATATCATATTACTACACATTTTTTCCTGCTTTCCCTAATTTACCCATAAAGATAGGAAGGTGTTTAACAAACTCCAACTAAGAAATATGCAAAATGGTACAGCTTCAAATTTCTAGCAATATATAAGAAAATCTATTCTCTGCAATGTATAAAACTATATATGCTGGAGATCTCTTCTGGCTTGCTCTTAAAAGCAGCTACATGTGCAGCACCAGAGAGACACTCTAAGATCTTTCCTAAGTAATAAGAACTTACTAAGGATAAACAAGGTTATGCAGATTTTGATAAAAGGAAATGACCATTTTAAATGCTGGCTGGGTGAGGTTGGTTGGTGCAGAGTATCTTATTTTTCACAAATAAGGTACTCACTCATACAGAAAATGCTATAGTAAACTGGTCCTGTTGAATATGTTCTTGTTTTGTCAGGTTAGTGGGCAAGTGAAATTATTATTTTATTTTGGCCTTATTGGTCTATGGAAAAAGTGTATTTTTAAAGAAGATTATGTTATCTAATCCTATGGCCACCATAATAGGTCACAGGGGTTCTGTAGAACATATGGGTGATATGATGCTTATAGATCAAGTACTTAGACTTCTGAACTGTGGAATATTTCAGTTTATTACAACTTAGTCTGAAATTGGCAGTGTTTTTTCATGGAAATATTTCTGTTGGTATTGTACAGAATATAGAAAACGGGGATTCTCAGGTATCTATGTTAAGAGAGAAGCTGCAGCTGATCAACGCTCTGTCAAGCAAACCAGAAAGTGATCGATCTGAAGCATTGAAAAAAGTGAATGTTGCATATAGTTTTACTTCCTACACTAAAGTACTATACTGCTGCTTTAGCTTATTTAATCATGAGTCATTTGCACTACAGTTCCTTGTACAAATGAGCAAACCGGGTGCTGAAAGGAGTGGAAATATGTCTGATAGCTCGCGTTTAGTTACGAGCTTCTGCCCGAAGCCTCTCATAGCTCATCCTTTATGCAAAGACAAATAACAAGAAGTGTAAAAATATAAGTGCTTACTTTGGAAGGAAAAACTATTAACAGAACCACATTATTAACAGGAACAATTGAGGCATGTACAATTCAGTTCCAAATTTATCACTTCTATCACTTTCAGCATATGAACTGTTGATCATTCAAGTAAGCATTTATACATGTATATCACTCTTACTGTGCTGTAATGAAAAGGCAAGGTAGCTATCATGTCAAAGTCCCCAGTAAATGATCAGTCAAAATATTTTTCTTTGCCTTATTGAGTTAATACTCTAGCATAGAAACACACATGCCACATCAGTAAGGCTAGGTTATACATTTGAAATGTGCTTTTCCATTCAAAATGCACAAGAAGAAGCAAGTTGGAAAAGACTGGGCCATTAGTTTTCCATGTTCAAAGGGGAAAGCCCTCTGCCTCATTAGAAGATACTTTCTATAAAATGTTAAAGTCTGGGGTTACCAATGTGACACCCACTAGCACCAATGCGTCCACCAGTACCAGTAAATATACTCTCTGAAATCTGCAATACGTGAGTGTCTGTTTGCTCTTCTGGCTCAGTTCCTGTTTGCACTGGCTCAATCTCTCCTACATTGAACATGCTCCCCTTTAAAAGATACCCATGTTCATTGGATGCCAGAATTGGACACCCCCCTCCAGTTGGAACAAGGGGAGAGGTGCAGTGAGCCTCTTTATGAGAGAGTGCAGTGGGTAGCTGATGTAGATACCTTTCCCCATAGGCTGGGAGGGGGGGCATGTATTGCACCACTTTGCTCTGCTGCTTTTCTGTTCTTTTGGATATGGAAATCCTTTTGTGACTGGCACCGATGGCACTTTTTCAAAATTTCATAGATGCCCACTAGCCCAAAAAGGTTGCTGCCACCTGCACTGATTTTTCCACTAATGACATCTCTGGTATGTTACTGTGTTGAAAGTGCCAAATTATATTGGATACCATCTTCATGTAGCCTCCCTTTTTGAAGCATAATTGCCTTCCACCTACTCTTGCCAGATAATTAGCAACAACTACTGTTAAAATTTCTTGACAGGAGGAAAACTCCAGAGCACTACATCAAAGCCTACAAGCTTCCAAGACTTTCTTCAAGATCAGTTGGCAGCAGTTTTGAGGGAATAGACATCCAAGAGACTTGTCATTACCTGGAATATCCAACATAGAAGGTTAACCCACATTATGGTTGGAAATGAATGGACCATAGAGGAACATTTTTCAAATGTAGCATAAACAATCCCAAAGGACCTCTCCCAGCTGAGTGAATGTGCAGTAAAATAGCAAATCGATTCAGTGCAAACAAGTGTAAAGCGATGCATGCCTGGGTAAAAAGATAATTTTATGCACTTACGGAGTCTGAAATGGCAGTAGGTGGCCAGGAACAAGACCTTGAGGTCATAGTGGGTAGCTCAAGAATAGCATCGCAATTGCAGCCAGTCTGAATCCTTAAGATTATGGAAAATGCAGTGGTAAACATTTATGCCTGCTTAAAGCCTGCAAAGATGGGTAACTTAAGGGAGGTAGATTCTTGTCTGTTTGGATATTTTTAAAAGATTTGTGCAGTTGCAAGTTGCATGCTGTTCAGCCAGAAGTGTTCAAAAGTAGAGAAAACAGTGGTGAAGATGTATAAAAGATATACAGGGTGAACTGAAACACTGACCAGGATTTATTTGGCAGAAGTACAATTTACTTTGTAATGTTCTCAAGCAAATCTGAGGTTTCTGGTTCAAACTGTTGAGAGAGGTCCAATATTTTAGCAAATCAATGTTGCTTTTGTTTAAATGTCCACAGAGAATGATTCTCTTTTGGGCTGATTCACATCTAGCAATCTGAGAATGAGGTCATGCCTCACTTACCTCCTGTTATCACTCCCCCTCCTTACCTTACATGCTGAGAAAATATTCTGCTGTGCTATGTTTAAGCCACAGTTTCCTGTTAGCTCTGAACTAGGAACTGGGTGAATTTTGACTAACAACCTGGTTTCATATCCTGATTAGTAATGAGAAACTGGTTTAAACGAATGGCAATAGAAGCAGCAACGTTGGCATGCAAGGGAAGGAGGATTGTGGAGGCCCAGTGCTAGTAGTTCTTGGCTTAAAAAACCGGCTCTTTATCTACTGAAATGTATATTACAGACCATATATTGTGTATTTTGTGTGTCTGGTGGAAAAAGCTACTGCTGCTGCAGGAAAGTGTTAATACTTCTTAGCTACTGTCTGTTCTTTAAAATTATTTGTTCCTTCTTGCAGACCTTCAGGATTTATTCAGGACCATCAGCCAAGACTCTGATGGCAAGCTATCCTATGAAGACCTGCAAAAACTGGTTGGATCTGCAGTGTATGATTCCCAGAGCTTTAAAGAATTTGATACAGATGGAGATGAGAAGTATTCCTTACTGGAACTAAGGATGGCTTTAGGTTTATAGTATCTCTACATATATAAATACAGTATTGAAGGACTACAGTAGCTATACAAGAGAAACTGATAAGTTAAAAGCTACATCTGGCACTTTCTGAATTATATACTAATCTTTGCAGCTAACTTAGTGTACATGTTGACACCGTTTTAATTTTGTGTTCTTTGAAAAATATGGAAAGCTTCTAATTTTTTATTTAATTTAAGAGATACAGACTCCTCAGATTTTCAGTTTTGAACCTCTAATCCTGAGATTATTTGGTAATGCCTAAACTCTGTTGAACAAGGGAGGGCACATAGATGCAACCTAAATTTTCTCTGGATTGAGGTTTAGAGGATATATTCTGCCATGGTTTTGGATAACTGGGCTGCACCTTAAATTGCACTAAGAATTTTAGCTCAAAGTTTTTATTTCCCTTATAAGGGAAGCACTTGTCTTCAAATTAGAATATGGTGTATATATTGACAGACATGTATTTTATATTTCAAATTTGCCTTAAATTAGCTGCACTTTTAGAATAAAAAAATAAAAGCATCTATCTTCACAGGATGGGGGCTCTTTTCCTTGTAAATATTTAAAATTGAATCAATTACATCTGAGTCAACTTGGCAATCTATTAAAAGTAATAAGGATCCCAAAGTAAGTTGTGTTTGGAGGAGGCTGGAAAGACATGTTTCTCCTTAGGACCACCCTTGGGGATCTGCTTTTCCCATAGTTGCATGGGAATCCATGGATAACTTTCAGATACTAAGATACTGTCTACCAGACTCTCAGAAGGACTTTTGTCCCTAAAGATGAGATGAAATAAAGTTCCTGTTTATTTTATACTCTGAACCACGAGAGATAAGAAATAATAACTAGTTCTTTCCCTCTGCCATTCAATTTCATATGGATTGTTTAGTATTAAAAACTTTTAGAAGAAGTGCAGTTACTAGCCTTTCTGTAGACTATCCCTCTTATTTTGGCTAACATTTATTGAATTAAATTTCCTCACCTTAATACAAATCTCAGCAAGTCAGAGGTTGTGTTACGTGGGGTTATGTTCCTGGTCAGGAACCCCTGGAACCAGGGCCGCTGCAAGTTGGAGAGCTGCTTGCCCGGCTTGGGGGAGGCTGTACAAGGGCTCTGACAGTGTCCTAGAGTCCTCCCATCTCCCTTCCAAACCCTAGTAAGTGCTTGCCTAAGCAGGAGGGCTCTGGGAATCTGTAAGCCTCTAATGGATAAGCCCACAATCACAGCTCTGCACAGGTGTGTGTTGGGGAAATAAAGATTGGGTTTCTGCTGCTCTCCATGTATTTATTTCCCCACCGACCTGCGCAAAGCTGTAATTGCATTAGTAAAATAAGCATAGGTTGTGACTTACCTGTACTCCCATTTTACTTCTGTCATGATTTATGTGAGCCAGGAAAAGGTTGGGGATATTTGGGGCCAAACATGGAGTGTATCTTTGCATTTGTACATAGTGTTGTTTTTTTTAAAATAGCAGTGTGGTGTCCTGATCCAGGTTGGCAATGTGGCATGAGTAAAGGTAAAAAAAAGGATGGTAAAGGAGCCCTGGATGGATTAAGTCCAGTCAAAGACAACTATGGGGTTGTGGCGCTCATCTCACTTTCAGGCTGAGGGAGCCAGCGTTTGTCTACAGACAGCTTTCCAGGTTATGTGGCTTGCATGACTTAAATCACTATTGGTGCATGGAGGAGCATGACGAGTGCCAGAGTGGGGATTCGAACCACCAACCTTCCAATCAGCAAGCCCAAGAGGTTCAGTGATTTAGACCACAGCGCCACCCGCGTCCCTTGTGGCATGAGTAAAGGTAAAGGTATCCCTGACCGTTAGGTCCAGTGGCAAACGACTCGGGGTTGCGCGCTCATCTCGCTCTATAGGCCGAGGGAGCCGGCGTTTGTCCACAGACAGCTTCCAGGTCATGTGGCCAGCATGACTCAGCCATTCTAGCGAGCCAGAGCAGCGCACGGGAAATGCTGTTTACCTTCCCGCCGGAGCAGTACCTATTTATCTACTTGCACTTTGACATGCTTTTGAACTGCTAGGTTGGCAGGAGCTGGGACTGAACAACGGGAGCTCCCCCGTCGTGGGGATTCGAACCGCCAACCATCTGATCAGCAAGTCCAAGGCTCTGTGGTTTAGACCACAGCGCCACCTGCGTCCCTGTTGCATGAGTAGAAGAGGGTTAACCCTCCCGCTCCCAGTATCGTTGTGATGAAAATCCTGCCTTCTGAAATTGTCTCATAGGGCAAATAGCTTGTGGGAGGGATTTCCATTGGGATCACCACACAGAGAGTAAAGATTAACCCATTGATTCAGCACCGCAGTCCATATCTGGATTGGGGACTCCACATGTGCTGTTTTTAAAAAGTGTGTGCAAATGTGAAGGGTCTGTTGATGTATGCTGCAGCTTGGTCCTTTTTACAGTTCCCTTGCTTAAACTTAAGAACTCTTTGATATTTTAAAAGGATTTTACCTTTTTACTTTTTAATTTGATCAGCAAAGTAACACAACAAAGTACAGACTTTACAGTCATCTGAATATGCATGCCATGGACAATAATAATAATACTTTTATCTATATGCCACCTATCTGAGTTGCCCCAGCCACTCTGGTCGCTGTTAACAGAAGACTAGTGTACATGGAGGTCTGATATAATGTTGGTTTACTCTAGAGTAGATGGAAACGATTCCTCCAAAAACATTACAATAATGAAAAGCCTTGAAAACCAAATTTCTCTCATAGGTTCTCTAATTTTTTTACTACCAGTTTCCTACCTGGGCAAGTTGACCTTGCCCAGTGAAGTTGAAAAATATTTTCAAGATTACTGAAAACCAGTGCTCTCTCAGACAAGCATCAACCACTTTTTAAATCTGCTTTCTGTATAAACTGTTGACCAAATTAAATGAAGCAATAAAAATAACTTGGCTAGTATTTATTTGTACTATGTAATATGATTGTATGCCAAATTGTTGAAGGTATTTTTGGAAGATTGGTTTGTATGGTTAATATGGAAGGAAGCTCTTTTCTAGCCCCACTCTTAAGCGAATAACTGATAATTGTTTAATTTGTTTTTGAGGTGTATATTTCCATAATAGGAATCCATTCAAATACTTGGGAATATTCATGGCTGGCTGGATGCTCAACTACTAAAGTGATAGTCCTCCGGAACTCTACCATCTCAGTTTTCATGAAGGGAAACATGTTTGGAAACCATCTCACTTCAAAGGATGCCTCTCATGCAGAAAGCTTTCCAAAGCCCAGTTAATGTTGCCTCAGCAGCAAGGGAATTGTACAGAGACTTGTGTGTTGTTTTAATTATATGGCTCCTTCCCACAGTAGCATTTTCCAGCTCCTGAGTGTGTGTGTGGCACATGTGGGAGAGAACCACATCACTCAGCAAACTCACATGGGTCAATTTTGCTGGTGTGATGTGGGGACCTAAAAAGTAGGTCTCCACCCATCTCTGATAACATGAACTGGGCCTAATTTCTTCTCTCTGAAGAATAAACCAACTACTGTGGTTAGGACAATAGTTGCATATGTTAACAGGAACATCCATGGGGCTGTGAAGACTACAGCACCAGTAACATACCAAGCAGAACTAAATCATGTATTTTAGGGAATACTGTTTTAGCTCAGATTGCTAACAGTTTGCTGCTTGTGTTTTACAATGCAACAGTGTTTTGGTATATTTTGTAGGCTGTGGAGCACACAGCCCCGTGCAGTAGTGCTAAAGTAACTTCTCCCAGCAACATATGGAAATAAAGGAGGGAAATGGGATTGAGCCACAAGCTTAAATCCAAGCTTCTGTTCAATGTTTAGTATCCTCAGCATTGTGATGTGGCATTCTGTGTTGGGAAAAAGCACATAGATGGTTATAGCTATGGTTAACTTTTTTACCTGCTTCTTCAAGAATGCCAATGAAACTGGGATAGCCACTTTAGTGCTGCAGTACTGAAGGCCTTTGGGTGAATACTGAGTTTCTTATTTTAACACTTTTGGAATGCTTCCAGTGAAGATGAGGCATTCTCTGAAAACTGAATGATCTCTGTTGCCCTTTGGCCAAGATTGAAAATATGTTGGTTGAGAATTACGGTAATACACAATAATAAATTTGTTTGTAGCATCTCTTGAGAAGGCAGAAATGAAACTGATGTGTATTTACAAAGCAAATGTGTGACTTAAAACGTTTGTTTGGAGTGGTCATATAAAAAGAGGATTTAATAGTAAGGACTCCACAGCATTAAGAGCAAGAGACAGTTTATTTTCTCTGAAGTATTAAGACAGCTGCTTCTTTGGTGCTGGAAAGGTTTGTATTGATCTTGTCCTTTGTGTGTGATAGCTACAGTGAAGAGAACTAAACTATCCAGGAAAAGTTGAGCTATTCCATCTTCATATCCTCCAGTGTTGGTTGTCATAGGAGAAGCTTTCCGCATAGGAATAGCCAGTCAGTTTTGTGGGGTTTTTTAGAATTTTGAATAGAATTATTTGCTAAGATTCTTAGCTTTGCTTTGGTTTATTTTCTTTATAATTTGTGTTAGCCTACTTCGCTAAATATTTAGTTGAGCGTTGTGTAAATAAGTAATTTATTTTAAGCTGGCCTTCCATATATATGGCTGAATTGCTGACATCTTATAAGCAAATTGGATATCTTTAGAACTGTAGAAAAACTTGTATGAATAAAGCTGGTTTTAGCTACAGAATTTTGCACCTATTCATGCATTTGTGAATGTCAAATTCAAATAAAAACACTTTGTTTGGGGTGTAATTGGCATTTATTTTCAAAATCAAATTTTATATTAGGAAATGCTTTGCGGCATAAACTGACAAGATGTTTATTTGCTGTTCAAAGCTTGCAGCCGGCTCAGTTCAGAAATTGTTAAAAATTGTTGTGGCTTTATCCATTATGCACACAGTTGACAGCTTAATCTTTTCCTGTGCTAATATTCTCCACATTGACACCCATCTCATCATCCAATTCATTTGTTCCATTAGTGCAAGGATTTGCATGGTGTAA